TGATGAGCCTCCTAATTGGAAGTCACTCGGGAACAACATATGTAGGTACATGGCTTATGCAGTAATTTTGCTCCCAAACTAGACCCGTCAACAAGATTTCGCCGGCATGTACCAATGCCCGCCCGCAGACCATCCCAAAAAATTTACACATTATACAAACAGTAGCTGCCGGCAGAAGATTTCATAGTTTGAGCATGACAAAACACAATTCTCCTTCTATAAACTACTACGAGTAAGTACTGTAGCACAACAGCACTTACCAGCATGTTTGTCTCATGTTCAGCATCCGGCATGTAAGGATACTGAATGTAGAACATGTCGTTCCGCACCATCTTCTTCCTCATTCGACAGGGCCCTTCTGTCATCTCCAGCATCCACTTGTCTAGGTGAGAGCCAATGGGAGGGCCCCACAGTCCTCTTTCCCGTAATAACTCGTATTCAATTTGAGACCACTCCTCTGTCACATACTTCAACGCATTTTGTTGACGCTATAAAGAACACTGTAGGGTTAGCTGCCACAGTTTGCTTCATCACCTGTCAAATACACGCAGGGTCTGATTTGAAAGGGTGGCGCTATCTTGTACTAGGCAGTTCTGCTGAAAGCCCTTGACAAGGCATGGGAGCAAAGAGATGCAAGACTAAGATTGCTTTACAGAGATAAGGGTACAAAGCAGTTTCAGCACTGTTCCAAGGCAGGCAAACAGGAGAAATTTCTCTCTGTATTCAGTGGAGTCGGAGACTCATCTCTGCATGGAGTGCAGCAAACTGAAGATGTAGTTTCAGGAGACAGCAGCCCTCCTCTTGGCTCCTTCACAACAAATGCCATGTCCCACTTCTGATTTTTTTTAAAAAGCACCAGTCTTCATTCAATTTTTTTTGGGAGATCTGCTTCTGCAAAATGTAACTCGGAGGCCCTGACCTGGATAACCCAGGCAAGCCCAATCTCATCAGCTCTCAGAAGCCAAGCAGGGCCGACCCTGGCTAGTACTTGGAAGGGCAACCTCCAAGGAATACCAGGGTCGGGACGCAGAGGTAGGCAAATATCAAGCCACCTCTCTGACAACATCCAAGCCCCACTAGGGATCGCCAGAAGTCACCATGGCATCCAGGCACGCAAGCGCACGTTCACGCGCACACACAAACTCGCACACAAAAATGTAACTCACAGAACTGTAACTTCTCTAAGAAGTACAATTTCAACAAAAAGTTGGAACATTTGAAAACACCGACCCATCTGTTACATTGTGTGACCAGTATTAAAAAATACATCCATGCAGGCATGATTAAAAAATATTGTGATTACTGCTCTGATTTACCTCTTGGTATTCTTTATACTGCATGTCTACCAAGTCTCGGACTACTGCGATGTGTGTAAACATCCACTGAGAGATTTCCTAATGACAAAAGCACAAATATTTTGTGAGTGCTCTTTTATGTTCCCGGTTAAATTGTTTTACTGTTGTTTTATACTGCTGGATACTGCTTTTACACTGTGCTTTGCTTATGCCCCAGTGAATTCGATGATGATGACAATTTAAATCTTTACAACTGTTTTTTTTTTAACTTTGTAAGCCACCTTAAGCAAGGTGGCCTAAACATTTTAAAAATAAAATAATGAGTTGGATCCAGCTCACTCAATTGCACTCAGTTCCTTTCCTTTCTAGAGCCCACGTCCAACATAATGTTTGTGTACCAAGATCCCCAGCAGAGATTTGGGGGAGGGGTGTCAAAAGGGACCCTTTCCTTTTTGCCAGCAGAAAAGTTGGATCCAACCCAATATACTGAGACCCAGATGAAAGATTCCCTTTTTAACCCACACATCCATAGAACATGCGAAAATTCAAGACATTTTGATTGTTTGTGCGATTCTCGTATTTTTGCCATCTCAATATGAGGTTTTAAAATATCTTGATCCAGAAAAGCACTTGAGTGGGCTTCTCCTTTCCACATGCTAAAATTCAAAGTGCTTAGCTGCTATCAAGGGTTAAGGTTGTGACGCTATCACAGTTATCTTATTACTTGAAGGATACAGCATACAAAAAAGCAGAATTTATTAAACTAGTTTATATCACAAAGCAATCTGCTGCATAGGACATGGCAAATGGCTTTCCTTCCCACCATCTTTTGCCTTATAAGCTACCTGTGTGGACAGATTATGTTTGTTCAGCCCACTTTCTTTACGGTTTCTTCTTGATCCAGTTAGCTTCGAAAGGCCAAAACCACTGCTGACTCGTGAAAGTTTAGACTGGGTCGTTGGAACCAATGACTCTCCTCTACTGATGCATTTCTTTTCATGAGCTAAAATGCCAAGAGAAAAACGGCATTTGTTTCTTCAAAATACAACTATTGGGCCCCATACAATGCACAGACAACCAGCAGAAGACTGACCCATATCGTACCATTCCCGAAACTCTTAGACTGACCTACAGCAAGTAAACACAACTTTGCATTGGTAAGCCCAGATAGGTAAGGAACAAGGTGATGAAGCACCACTCCTGTGCTCAAGGGCCTTAAAAAACACGGGCGAGTTCCTGATCCCAAGCACCCGTGGAGTACACACTGAGAAGCTCCATACTCTGGGTGGCCCTTTTACCTCCTTGACTAGAACGCCTTT